CTGTGAGCAGAAACTGCTGCGAGGTAGGGCACCCTGTTCCTGAAGGCCATTCCTGCCTCAACCCTGCCCCCTCGTGGAGCATCTGGGTGCAGCCTGCCTAAGGCCCGCGGTGAGATCTCCTTCCATCCTACTGTTCCCAGGCACGGAAGCCTGTGCTGGGCCCCACACAGGCGGGAAAGGGCAGCCCCTCCAGGGAGAGTCCTGCAGCGGCTCTTCTCTCCTCTTCTGGGGCCTGTGGCAGCCTGGGCTCCACTCCACTCTGTTGGAACCCTCCCTGCAGGTGAGGGCCTGTCTTCACCTGAGCACCAGGTGGGTGGGTGATGGGCAGTGGAGGAAGGAATGGAGAAGGAGAAGAGCAGCGTCACAAGCAGGGGCTCTGGAGGGACACAGGAAGCATATGCCACTTCCTGGCTGCTGGCCCTGGGAAAGTCACTAAGCTCTCAGGGCCTCGGGTTCCTCACGTATGAAATGGGGACAACACTAGTACCTGCTCAGGAGGGCCGCTGGAGGAGCTGTCACCACTGCTGCCCCTTTACAGCTGGGGGAACAAGCTTAGAGAGAGTGAGCACAGCCCAGGACCCAGAGCTGACAGGGGTGGAGTCGGGGGCTGTCACATGGGGTCCTCTCACTGCAAGTGCTGCCCTTCCACTCATCCTGTGTCCTGGTCACCACTGAACCACGCACACCTCAGAAGAGAGGGACATGGCAGGTCCCGGGTGGCCCCCATGCCCACCACCAGGCAAGTACATAATGATGCACGAGCCCTCATGCATGAAGATCACATTGTATACTTGTTTCCAGGTCCATTTTCAGAGAGCTGAAATACACTATAAAACCCATGGTTACCTCTCACCTTTAAATATCGTCTCAAAAGACAAATGCAGGATTTCTTACTGGGGCTCTATTTCTGTTCCTTCTCAGTGGAAATCAGCTTAAGTGTGCCCAGTAAGTATGACTGCAGGAATCAATTCACGGCTTTTAACCCACCTGGGGATTACCTTTAGTCCAGAGGGGTTAAATATGTGGCACTTAAGGGACTTATCTTGGGAGCTACTCTTTTTTCTTTCCTTCCATTTTTTATGCATTTTACAAAACATCAAGGGAAAATACATGATCTTCAATTACCTGCGCAGGGCCTGCTTACTCAAGCAGCACAAGGCCCGAGGAACCGCAGAGCGATTTGGGCATCACATCTCTGCAGGACTGTGCTGGGGTCAGTCTTAGGCTGTCGGGGGTAAGGCACAAAAGTGTTGGTTGTCCAAAAGTCAAATGTTTAAAAGGAGGTGAGCTGCAGCCTTACTTCCTCCCTCTCCTCTGCCAACTGAGGCAGTGACTCCTCCCTCTCCTGTTTTGAGATTCCAAGGGTTGCTTGTTAGGGTGCAGGCTCTGAGCCAGAGGATGGCAGAGGTCCACCTGAAGCCTGGTGTGCAAGTGGGATCCAGGGCCCGCATTTAGCAGGTTCCATAGGTCAGTGGTTCTCAAACTTTGCTGCCTTCAGAACCACCTGAAAAGATCCCAACGTCCAGGCTTCTCCCCAGGCCACCTAGTCAGGATCTCTGGGAAAGCAACTGGGCATTGGTGTGTATTAAAGCTCCAAGGTGGTGCTAAGGTTCAGGAAAGTCTGGGACCACTGCTGCACTTTGGTTCTGTTTGAGATCAGCCGACCTGGGTAGTGGAGGGGACACTGAGAATCGAGGGGCGGGATGAGGAGGAGCCTGGGTGAGGTGGGCAGGGCGGGGGTGTGGCCGGACCCTGCAGGGGCAGAACTAGGCAGGACCCGCTGTGACCAAGCCGGCCCTGGGCATGCTCCGGAAGCATCTTAGAGTCATCAACACCATCTTGTCTTCCCCATAAACCCAGTGGTGTCTGCGGAGGGTCCGATTCCAGAAGCTCATCATAAAAGAGGCTTTCATGTGAACAGCTTCAACTTGGAAGGACGGAGGCTGCTTTCTTCTTCCTCTGACTTTCCCCTGACAACATTCTCTTTGCCATGATTTTCCACTAGGGCCCAAGTGGCAGTGTGTTTGCAAAGATCAGTCTCCCACTGCTCCACAGACACTGTGGCAGTCAGGACTCTTGGGGAAATGGTCAGGGTTTGGGCATGTTCATGCCTATGGCTGGGAGAGCAGGGGTGGGGTCCAATCCCCAGGGAAAATGAGAGCCTGGTAAGAGGGAACAAGGGCCCAGAGGAGTGTCCTAGAGTTTGAGTAACAGATCCAGCCTGCACAATGAAAGTACCATTTAGAAGATCCTGGGGACCTCTATGCACACCCTCATGTACACACTATTTGTACACACCCCAGTATACATGCCCCATGCACATACACTATGTACCCTCCCCAATGTACACACTCATGTATACACTCTATGTACAAACTTCAATCTATACACCCCATGTACATACCACATGTATACATCCCAATATACACACCCATGTCACACACCCTAATGTGCACTCCCATAAAACACCCTGTGTACACACACCAATGTACACCGGCCAAACTGTCAGCCCTGCATGGCGGGATCCGCATGCAGCCCTGTTTTCCTCTGTGCACATGGGGTGGGGTTGATTGGTTCTCAGGAGTCTGGACTACTTGTGACCTGCAGCCAAATGCCCAGGATCTCCACGCTGGCAAGGCAGTGGGACCCGGAGGGTCCCCAGCACTGCAAAGCTGTGGAGGGCCTTCCGCCTGGACTATCTAGGAGCCTGCGGCCACTAGGTGGTGCCATCAGCAAAGGCTGGGTCAGAGGACCCGGGAGCCCAGCCCTCCAGCAGGATCCCTTAAGCCACCTGCCTAGCCCCAGGGAAGGCTTCCTGTAACTCTGTAACCCGCTGCATGCCCCAGGGTCTTCAGGCAGGTACCTGGGAAGGGAGCTTTTCTGGGGGATTTGCAACTTGATGTGGAGACCTATGGAGTCCCACCAGCTCACCTCCTGCTCCAGCCCAGTCTGCATCCTATCCCTGTGCTGGGCACCAGGAAGGAGGGATGCACAACCGCATCAGGGCAGGGGCTGTGCCTTCAGTATGTCACAGGCCAGGCCCAGCACGTCCCCATGCCTTATGCCCTCCACCCTCCCAACAGCTCCTATGCCCAGATTACTCTGAAAGTTCATGTGTGACTGTGTCAGGTCCCATGTTCATTTATAGACTCTCAGTGCTGAGAGGAGAGGTGCAGGACATGACATATTGAATATCAAGGACACTCTAGCTCTTTGAGGTCAGCAATCCCGCAGCCATCCCTTCCTCAGCAGGCCCCTGGGGAGCACTTCTGTGTGCACCTTGTGTTTCAGGCACACGGCAGAAGCAGGGCCCAGAGCCTGCCCTCAGCAAGTCCACCAACCCAGGGCAGAGACAGCTCCAACCAACCTGGCTCTCAGGGCAGGAAGGAGTCAGTGCTTCTGCCAAAGAGTGCGGATAGCACAGGGACCCTCAGAGATGGCCAGGGGAGTCCACGGAGCTGCCAGGCGTCTAGTGCCACAGCCCTGCAGGGGAGTGCCTCCCTCCATGGAGTCAGGAAGCCAGCCAGCAAGGCCAAGTGACCGTCACTTTCACAGTACTCAATGCCACCTGAATAAATCACCCCTATCTAACGCCTGCTTCTCCATCAGCTTAAGTACAGGGAAAGCTTAAATCCACCTTCTAATGCCTAAAATTTAAGAGAAGCTACAACTAGCTCAGGAAATGGTTGTTAGGTGAATGAAAGCCCAGAGGAGGCCAAGGGCAAGAGTGGGTGAGTAGAGTTACGAGAGGCGTTTGGGTCTAGGCCTTGACCCAGACTGTGTCCATGGCCACTTTGGGTCTGTTTCCTTCTCAAGAAGGGAAGATAAATTTGTGTGACTAACCCACATCACCGCCTGTTCTGTAACCATGAAATGCAGATTTATAAGCCACATAGAGCAGGGCCCCTCTGCGGACAGAGGGGGACCCTGGAGCCCAGCCGAGCCCACCCTGCTGCCCCACAGAAGCCCTGGCCTCACCTCTGCTCACCCCAGAGTTCAAGGGTCACGGTTGAGCCCTGGAGGATGCTCTGTGGCCTAGAAGTGGCAGGGCCAGCTCCTGCCCTTGCTCTGTGTCCTCAGGGCATCCTCTTCCTCCCAAGGCCTGGGTCTCCTCTGGGACCTAGAGTGAGGGGCCTGGATGGGGTTCAGGCAGCAGCTGGGGAAGGCAGAATCCCAGAGGCACAGAAAGCTCAGAGCTCCAGACCCCAGGGCCGTCCACCAGCCCAGCCTGCAAGGCCGCAGTTGCTCCTTCCAGTTGTCCCTTTTGCCACTGTACATTGCCAGAGTGAAGATGAACTTGCTGACCAGGTGGTGGGACAGCGTGTTGTGGGCTGCAGGAGGGAGGGGTGGAGTGAGACTCATCACTCGGACTGCAAAATGAAGACTCTTCTCTAGGGGTTTGCTCTAGCAGCTGAGCCCGGCCCACCTCCCCGGGGGCTAAGGAGATCCAGACGCAGGGAGCTGAGGTCACGTTCCTGTGGCTGCAGCATGCCCGCCTGTCTTGATAGCCAGTGGCAATATCAGGCCCTCTGGCCCAGCCTGGGCTTAAAGAGCTGTCATCGGCTCAGCTGGGACCCAGGAAATCAGCAGAGGAAAGACGGGGCATCTTGAATGCAGGGAGCATCGTGAGATACCAGCCAGGTCACTGCAGTGTGACTCTCTTGTCAGCAGGCCCTCAGCTGCCCAAAGCCTGGGCCCCCTCCTCTGTGACCTGAGACCACCTCCCCAGTCCCTGGGAGTGTGAGGATGAAAGGGAAACAGGAAAGACAGTCAAAGAGAAGGCAAGCGCGAGCCGACGTCCAACCTGGGCCCAGTGCTTTTCAGAGATTTGGGCTCCTGGGCCTTATTTTATTGAAAAGGAAAGAGATGCTTAACTATCCAATGCAAGGTGGAAAGTCTATTAAATTCTCGACACTGTGAAGATGGGAAGGTGGTGGCAGGGCCTTAGGGCTTCTATCCCCTCCTCAGCAGCCCCCCTCACTGCTGCCTTTCCCCCACAGGCCCTCGCTCCGGCCCCCACAGCCATGACCTTCACCCCGGCGCCGCTGGAAGACACAACGGCAAGCCCTCAATTCTGCAAGTGGCCGTGTGAGTGCCCGCCATCCCCACCCCACTGCCCACTGGGGGTCAGTCTGATCACAGACGGCTGTGAGTGCTGCAAGATATGTGCCCAACAGCTTGGGGACAACTGCACAGAGGCTGCTGTCTGCGACCCCCACCGGGGCCTCTACTGCGACTACAGTGGGGACCGCCCGAGGTACGCAATAGGAGTGTGTGCACGTAAGTGAGAGCCTCCGTACCTTCCACCTGGCCCCAGGACCCCAGCTCTGGCCCGGGGCCCCTCGCCCTGGGCACCCTTGCAGGCTGCCATTCATCTGGTCAGGCCTCAGCTTGGCAGGAGGCACCCCCAGCCCAGCCCAGCCCATGGTGAGAAGCCACAGGGCAGGTCCCTCCTGGGGAGAGGGCGATGCCCATGTGCCTTTCATCTTTACACCTTGACTCCTTGCTCCCTTCTCAGTCTGGAAACATCCTTCTCTGGGAAGGAGTTTCCCCAGGGAAGACCTGTTCTCTTAGTGGGTGGCACCATCCCAAGGGATGCCAGGTCACTTCAGAGCGCCTCACCGTTTAGTAACATTATAAATTAAAATAATGTGGTTAAATCCAGTAGGCTTGAAATAATAAAAACCAGCAGCCTGCAACCACCCCTTCCTACCAACCACCTTCTCTGGGTTACTTACAGTCACTTTTAACTTTCTTATATTTTCCACTGAGTGACTCATGCCTTCTGCTGTATTTTAACTGGACTGATATGTCAATTTTGGATAATTTGTTAATAATCCTTTATGATAACTGATGACTTGGCTCCTCAGTGTCATCTAATACATCCCTTTTCTTTCAATGTCATTGCTGTAATTTTGGGGTATACAATAATTAGTATTTTTAACCTTATGAGTATGAGAATAATGCTCACTACAGTGTAAGATAGTGTACTTGATTGAATTTCTGTTTTACAATGCCTGGGGTGTTTCCTGGAGTTTCTAATTGCCTTCGCTTTTTTCTTTGCTCTTGGTCTTTACATCATCCTCGTGTATTTGTTTGCTCTTCAAGTGTTTGCTCCACTGTGGGTACCCTGCTCTATTTTGTTTTCAGAGACTGCCTCTCTAGGGCTTTCTGACCTACTTCTGGACTTGCATTTCCTTAATTTGACTCATGTAAGCATTGTCCATGGTACATGTCCTGGCAGGATGAAGAAAGGTACTTAACCATCATGCCACAGCAGCCTAACTTCTGAAGAGTTCTATGGACTCTCATAAATCCAAGAACTCCCTTCTTCCCTTAGTGCTGAATCAAGACTTCCCCATAATTACAACTCCACAGACAGCCCATCACATATCACACACAGTACAGTGTCCTATCCCCAGATAGCACATTACGCTTCCTGAGGTGGTTGCTGGTGAGGGCTATGCACATGATTTCAAGTCACGCAATCCTGTCCTACCCTCGTGGTTAATCTATGGCACTTTTCTCGTTTGATCATTAGTTCGTTTTCAACTTTCATTACAAGACATGTCTTTGACTTTGCAAGCAGCCCCCTCTGTTCCTCTATCCTTCCAGTCTTTCTTCTTTTACTGAGACTCATTAATAGTTCCTCAAAACAATGTGTTCAAAGAGAAATTGCGACCTGACCTGTACAGAAGCATCCAACATATTGATTCAGATATTTATTCCTGATCCCAGTCCAGAATCACATCCTTTGGAAGCAGAGATGGGAATCTGTACCAGGTGTTTCCCAGGAATACTGAAGTTCAAGACTGACGGCTAACACACAACCCAGGAGGGGAAACTGGCCCAGCCTCCTTGTGCTAGAGCCGTCTAGAGTTACATGAGACTCATATTTCCTCTCCATTGTTCTTCAAGGTCACTCAAAGGGCAGTTCAGTTCATGGCCATTGTACTACTCCCTGGAGCTTGTCAATTACCAGGCATCAAAGCTTTGTAAGCATTCTCTCCTGGATCCAGAGGCTGCCTCTCCTGCTTGCCTCCTCCACCAGGGCCTGGAAGCCCCCTTCCCAACCCCTCCTCCTGCCTGTACATCTCAGGTCCTGCCTGCACCTGCTCCAGCCTCTGGGCTCCCTGACACCATGAGCCTTTTATGTATTTCCTTGCCATTTATTTGGGAAAACAAACAAACAGAAACTGTGGTCCTGAGAAGATTTTATTGGGTTTTACCATTACCAAGGCGAATCTGGATATGTAGGTTTGCAGACGTTGGAAGAAAGTTAAACAGGTGCCACCGAACTTCAGGGGCTTGGAATGTTTAGGTTCATTGTCAAGTCCCAAAGGAGCTGGGACAAGAGGCCTTTTTCATTATGAACTTATTTGAATACTGAGATATTTTGCTCAGGTACTTGATTCTCCACTTTCACCACACATATGCACACATGCGCACACACACACACACACATTATGTATATAATACATATGTATATAACACATCACATGCAAACCCATGCACACTCACACAGACACACACACCAACTCACTAATGTTCTACTGACTCTTGTCCCAGAAACACTGCCACAGTGTAGGACCTTCTGAAACCCCAATGCAAGAAAGAAGAGAAGTCAGGCTGAAAGCATAGAGAGGACGACACCTCTGAGCCAGAGAGAAGGAAAAGTCTGGTCCAACAGACCCTCCCACCAGGGTCAGCTCAGCATGAGATGCATCTGCCTTTGGAGATTTTCACGTAATTATGTCAGGATGAGGCAGGTCATAAATATGAGCCATTGCGAAGCTGGCACTCAGAGAGGATGGGCGGGGCCATGGCAAACTGCCAGCTGCCAGCTTTGGCTGTCTGAGGTCACCCCCTGGGGACCTCAGCCCTGGTGGCTGGGAGAAATGTGATCTTGGTTTTGCCAGCCTGCTCAGTTTTCAAGAAAACCCAGAAGCCTCGATTTGTGTAGTGTGCATAAGTTGGCAAGACATTCAGAATGTTTTTTAAAAACACTCGGTGGGCCAAGCTAAATGCCCCTGTGGGCAGAGCGTGACCTCTGAGTTAGCCCGCTTGGCTATTTCGGTTGCACAAACACTGCGTCTCATGCGGCTGGGTCAGCATGAGGGCAGGGTGGTTGGTGGAAGCATCATGATGTTCACAGGCACCGGCTGGGGTTTCCGCCCTGGCCCCCGGCTGGGCTTGCTAACTACGTGTCTGTGGGCACGTCGCTCGGGGGCTTGAGGAAACCAACCTCGGCAGCCAGGAGGAAAAAGGGAATGCATCCGCCCACGGGACCAGCGCTCTTGGTTTTGCTTTGTTTGACTGGCCTTTTCAGAAGTCATCTCAGCCCTGTCTGGGGTCATAATCAGAGGAGGGACAGGTCTGGTTCCAGTCCTGGCCCCGGCCCCAGTCTGAGGCGGGGGAACAGTAAAGGCAGACACGGTCTTTGGAGCTGGCCAACCGAAGTGGGATCCCGCCTGTTACCTGGTACTAGCTAGTACTAGTAAATAAGTACTAACAAGGGCTTAGGCAAGTTACCTAGCCTTTCCAGTCTCGGTTTCCCGGAAATGACCAGAGCACCACCTCTCTGGGTGGTTGGGTTGCGTCCCCACATCTGGGGATGAGTCACCCACAGCCACTGCACACCCCATCTCCACCAAGGTCGGCTCATCACAGCTGGCAGCAACTCCTCCCACTTCCCCACCCTCGGGTCCAAGGAGACTATGGAACCTTCCAGACCTTGGCTGCAAACTGGATTCAAAATCACCGAGGATAAATAAGCCAAACATGGAGGTCCCCCTCAGATTCCATGTCATGGGCTGGGCACCCGCAGTTCCCTAGGTGCCTCTGCTGGTCCCAGGGAGCCACCGGTGCAGAATCTCTGCGCAAGGCCAGGCCTGCCCCACTGCCTTCCTCCAGAGTCCCACACGGGGGCGGAGCCTCATCTCACCTGCACTCGCCGTCCCCACACTCACTCTCACCCAGACTCACAGACTCACACACACTCTTACACCCCCCGCACACATACACATACACTCACACACATTCACACTCCTGTTCACAGAGTCCCACACACATGCACTAACATACACCTACACACACACACCCATGCCCACACCACCCCCACACCCAATCACACAAACACACTCACACTGCCCTCACACACACTCACACCCCTGATACACACATAGTCAAATGTACACTCGCTTTCACACACACACCCATACAACCCTGACAAACTCACACTCACACCCTCATAACACACACCTACACATTCACACAGTCCCAGTCACATTCATACCCCCACACTCACACTTACTCACACATTGAAACACACTCACCCTCCCATAACACACACACCTACACTCACAGAGTCAGAGTCACACACACACACACACACACACACACACACACACACAATTTCCCTCCACACACTCACCCCCACAGACTCACACTTGCAATCTTCTTCCTGGAGGGTGCGGGCTCGGTCAGGGTGACTCAATGCAAAGCTGCACAATGCTCTCCTGTCCCCTCCTATCGGCATGCTCTTCTTCCTTTCCCATTTCCTCTCCTCACCTGCTGGAAGGAAAGGGCTGTGGGGTCAGAGCCACGGGGCTGGAGTCCCAGCTTTCTCATTCACCAGCTTCCTGACCTTGAGCAAATGAATCACTTGGCCTCCTGGACCCTTCCTGTCTGCAAAGGAAGAAAATAAAACTCTCTGATGAAGTCACTGGGAGACCTGAATGAGCTCACACCCTGGGGGTACCTGGCACCAGACCAGATGGCCAGGACATATTGGAGTCCTGCCTCACTGCTCCTCCCCCATGGGTGACCGCTCCCTGGAAAACGCAGCCAGCAAGACTCAGGCGCACCGAACCCGCTTCTCGTTCTGGTCACCTTGGGGAGGGGACCGCGCCTCTTTGAGGAGGTCTTGCTGTAGTTACAGTGACAGTGATGATGTGCGTCCCTCTAGGAGAAATAACTCCCATGCCTGCCGCAGAGAAGACCCGGGCCCCACACTGGATAGAGGATGATGACTGTGGACACCCCTCCCTAGCAGAACCAGGGACAGGACAGAACCACAGGCAGGCTGCACATTCCTCCTCTGATGGGCTGCTGACCGCCTGGGGACTCTGTTCTCAGGCAGCAAATGGCATCAAGCATGACTTCTGGCCCCACAGCCCACAAAACCCTCCCAGAAGTCCAGGCTTTCATGGCCAACTCCACGGCTACTCAGATGCCAACCCCGACACTCGCATCAAGACTCAAATCGGCCTACCTCAAACCCTGCTCCTCCAAGGACAGAGAGCACCTGGCCTTCCCGGGAGCCTGCTCCTCACACCCCTCCACCAACAGGCAGAGCCCTTCTCCTGGCCATGGCCCTCCCTGGTTCCAGTCACCACTCACCCCTGCCTCTTGCCAGGGCTGGGCGGGCCTCCCATGCTGCCCTTCACCCCTCTTTACCGTGTTCTCTGCTGGGTACCACACAGGTTCTTGTGAAGCATAATTCACGCCATTCATGGAAGTTACTTCTCAAACACCTACTGTGCGTACAGCGTGGTTCTAGGCTGTAACTGCTCTGCGTTCTCCCCTGCCTCCAAGGAAGCCGTCTCTGGCCTGATCTCCCACTCCCCACCCTCTTTCTTCCTGCACCCCAATTTCCTCCCACCTGGGGTGTGAGCCCTTCCGTCCTGAAGCTGCTCCCCCAGCACCTGGGCTGACTCACACCTGCCCTCCTTGGGTCTGGGCAGAACCATCCTCGCTCATTGAGGCCTCCCTGGCCCACCCGGTTTCAATTCAAAGCTGTTCCCCATCATCCCTCCCCAGCACTCTTCCCTGGGCGGAGGGATACGGTACCTCAGCCCCTCCATTCGTCAGCCCTGAGGAGGGACCTGGGTTTCCGTGTTCTGCTTGCCTGCGTGTCTGTCTGCTCTCTCAGCATACGGCCCTTTGGACCAGGACCAGGCTGTGTGTCGATGCCACAGGGAGCAAGCCGCCCTGTCCCTCTGGGTCTGTACCCTCTCACCGCAGCGCTGGTGCCTTAGGGGTGCTAGCCGCAGCTAATGACCCCTCACGCCCCAGGCCCTCAGTCCTCTCCCGCCCCTGCTCTCCCGGTGTGCCCACCCTGGACAGCTCCTGGTGCTCTGGCACCGTGAGCCTGAGCTCGGCGGGTCCAGCAGAGCCTGGGCCACACAGGCAGCCCTGGCCCCAGCCCTGTGCCTCCCGGGCCTGACCGGGCCGCTGGCTGTGTTTGCAGAGGTGGTCGGCGTGGGCTGCATGCTGGACGGGGTGCGCTACCTCAACGGGGAGTCCTTCCAGCCCAACTGCAAGTACAACTGCACTTGCATCGACGGCGCGGTGGGCTGCACGCCCCTCTGCCTCAGCACTCGGCCCCCGCGCCTCTGGTGCCGCCGCCCACGGCGGGTGAACTTGAAGGACCAGTGCTGCGAGCAGTGGGTGTGCGAGGACGACGCCAGGAGGCCACGCAAGACCACGCTGCGGGACACCAGCGCCTCGGGTAGGTGCGGGCCGGCAGGGGCGAGACCTCGGGCGGCGGGTCAGAGACCCCTCTGCCGTGAATGGCTCCAGGCGCCCACTGTCCAGTTCAGAACTCATTGATGGTGTCTTGAGGAAGCCACTCCTCCCTGGGGCCATAGGCTCCCCCTTGTAAAATGGAAATTAAGGTTTTTATGCTGAGATTCTCGCAATATAAAAAGAGGAAGCACTTTGTAAGCTTCGTAAAGAACAAAGTGTTTTCCACAGGTGAACCCTTATTATCCTACCTGAGTGCTGGGGGCACTGGAGGCAGGGCCAGTGCCCTGGGAACGGAGGCCTGAGTGGCAGGTGTCAGGGCAGAGGCCTGGGCCTCCTGGAGGCTTCAAGGTGTCTTGAGGTCCCCAGCTCTGGAGGATGGGTGGGCAGGCTGAGCCAGGTAAGCCAGAGAAGAGGAGAGGGAGGCAGGGATGGGCCTGTGTGTTTTACCACTGTCTCCTGGAGCCTAGGCCAGGGCCAGGGTCCTGTGGGTGGGTGGCTAGGGAGGCTCTGAGCTGGGGGGTGGGAGTCAGGTAGGGAGGACGGCTTGGCTTGAGTCAGACGGAGGTCTGGATATGCATCACTGTGGGGGGGAGGGAGAGGGGGGTAGAGGTGACTCCTGGGACTTGTCACTGCTGAGGAGAGAACGGGAGAGACTGGGCACCTCTGGTCGGAGAGCTCTGCCCGCTGTGAGGGGATGTGAGAGAGGCTGGGGCCAGCTGGGAGGAGGGTGGGCAGAGAGCCCTCTCAGGGAACCCCCTGAGCTGCTGAGGGCAGGGTGGCAGGGCGGCAGGGCCCAAGGACACGACACAGAGAGACAGAGGGCCTGGGACAGAGGTCTGCGGAGGCTGAGCTTTGAGAGGTTCTCAGAAGAAGAGATGAGGAGAAGAAAGTCAGAGAAAACCCGAGCGCTTGGCGCCCTGGGAGACAGGAGGGGACGCTGCTGGAGGACAGAGCCTCCTAAGCAAGGGGACATGAAGCAGTGAAACTGGAAATGGGGTCAGGAGTTGCAAGCGTAGTGGGTACAAAGTAAAGCCCCTAAGGGCGTGAGAGTGTTCGTGTCTCAGCCCTGGCGGCCCTTGGGCTGCAGAACTACTTCCTTAGGGTGGGGGCTGTGCAAGGGCGCAGGCTGTCCCCATGTCCTGGCCTCTGGATGTCCGTAGCCACCCCCACCCAGAAGTTGTGATCATCCAGAACATCCTAGGGTTGCCAACTGTGCCCTGGGGGACAGAGCTGCCTGGCTCAGGGGCGGGTCCCTGTAGGTGGGAGAGGCAGCAGGGAAAGCCTGGTCCTTAGCAGACCCAGGGTGTCAGAGCAGCTATCCCACATGGCCCCCCTCAGCAGGGTCACAGAAGAGTCACTGGGCGGTGGAGGGGGCAGAGGCTGTCCGCCAGTTGTGGTCTAGTGACCCCATTACAACAGCACAAACAGAGCCCCTGCAGCGCTGCGGAGGTGACCCAGAAACCAAAGCCCTTTATCCTCTAGGCAAATCCTTTCTCACCACCCCCAAGATGCTGGCAGCCCCCTCAGCCCAGCCCTGCCCTCTCTGTGAGCTTTCCCTCTGTTGACATCCCCACCCCCACACTCATTCCTGCATCTTGGGGGGAGGGAGGCCTGCACCCAGGAGCTGGGGCCTGAGTGTAGACGCAGCTTCCCTTCTTGATCCACTTCTCTCCTGCTTGTCTTCCCCCTCCAGCTGCCCCCCCCATGCTTGTGTCCTGGGTCTCTCTCTTCTCCCCTCACTCTTTCTTTCTCTTCCTTTTTTCCTCCCCTCCTTCTCTCTCGTCTGGGCCCTTCCGTCTGTCTTTCCATCCCTCCCTCTCCGCCTCCTCTGTTCTCTCTGGCCTCCTGCGCCTGGATGTCCAGTGGGACCCTCTCCTGCAAGTCTGTTGCACCTTCCTGTGGGCAGCTCTCTGTCCTGCTGGCCTTTCTCTGCCTCTTTCTCTGGTTCACTACCCTCGGCTCCTCGGATGACCACAGCACACCATGTGCAGAAGCTGGAGCGTCTGTGAGCACAGACCTGTCCCAAGTTGGCATTCATGTGGGTGACAGCCAAGTGCCCACACATGCCCACGTGGATGGGGGCTACTAAGGGCCAAGGGCAGCTGGAGCATGCTTGTGTGTGTGGCATTCCCTCCTCGACCCCAGCCCTGGGAGAGACAAGCTGTGGTTGACCCCATTTGTAGAGGCGGGGCTGGGCGCAGAGGTGTGAGGGAGCTGTGGGCAGCAGGGCCTGGTGATCCCACGTAGTTTATTGTCGTAGCCACCACACTCTCCACGTGACCTCAGTGAAACATCAGGTGCCTAGATGTAGGTCCTCACCTTTGAATTTCCCCAGAATCAACTTCATCATGCAGGGGTGGGGACAATGTCTTGCTAGCCTCTCATTCCCAGAACCTAGCAGGACACTAGGCATAGGTTCAGTCCAAACCTGCACCCCGTGGTCCTAGGAGCCCCCCAGGGCAGATATGGTTCCAATGTGGTAGATTGGAGGTGAAGGCCAAGTGAGTGTGAAAAGATCACCCGGCTTGGAAATGGTATAGAAGGATTTGAATTGGGTCCACATGTCTTAAAAGATAATTTTCCTTCCATGCACCCTCCTCCAATCAGAAAATTATAAGGAACTCAGAAAATGCCCCCCCTTCCCAGGTACCTGTGCTGATTAGAAACCAACTTGCCCTCCTGAGGGACAACCCAGTTCTCTCCTGTGGAGGTGGAGAGGGCTGGGGCTGGGGGAGGCTGCAGACTCACGGGCACTCTGGTCTCTCTGCAGAGGCTGCAGGTGAAGTGGAGCTCTGGCACGGGAACTGCATAGCCTACACAAGCCCCTGGAGCCCCTGCTCCACCACCTGTGGCCTGGGGGTGTCCACGCGGATCTCCAACATCAACCCCCGGTGCTGGCCCGAGCAGGAGAGTCGCCTCTGCAACCTGCGGCCGTGTGACGTGGACATCCGTCTGCACATCAAGGTGGGTCCAGAGCAGGGCCAGGCGTTTTGAACAACAGACGAAGCTGGCCTTGAGCTGGCTCCTGGGCTTCCTCATGAGGCCACTTGTAGGATGGGATTAATGAAGCCCACCCAGTAGGCCTGGGGCAATGTTATTTAGGATGATCTGGACACCGAGACAGGGCAAGGTCACTGGGAGGAGTTCAGGGACGCTCCACAATGCTCCTGTAATGATTTCGAGGGACCCCTCTGCTCCTGCCCAAGTGTGTGCCCATGTGGGTGTAGCCCAAGCCCACCCACATGGGCACACAGGACAGTGTGTGGTGACAGGAGGGGCACTGTACAGGGCCCGGGACACTTGAAAACACCTCTCTGCTGTTAGTTCCCAGGGTTGGGACTCATCCTTGAGTCTCTGGGCCTCAGCCCCCCTTCATCATAATGGAGCTGGTTTCTAAGATAACAGGAATGGAGCATCAAGGATCTAGTGGGCCACAGGACTCTGAGCCCCTTCCCATGGATCCTACCTGCTTCCTTCAACACCTCTCACTCACGCCTCAGGCATGATGTCACATTAGAAGCAAAGAAAGCTCCATTTTGGGAGTACAGAGGTTTCTTGGGGATGCGGAAGAGACGCAGGTCCTGTAGATGCCTCCTGGCTTCCCACCACCTCATCTGACTTCTGACATTGCTCCTGTGCATAGGACAGCTCCCAGGTCATCTCCTGGGGGTCAGCTGGAGGCAACCCTCCTCTTCTTCTCCCCTCCCTCTTGGTCTTCTCCTTCATCCTCTGAGCGTCTTCCCTGTTGGGCTGCACTTGTGTCCTCTGTGCTTGGTGCAGAGCAGGGTCAGTGGACATCTCTAAATGGGATACCTGGACGGGAAGTGCCTGCAGCAGGAGAGTGGGGCAAGACAGCTCTACAGAAGCTAAGGCCAGGCCCTCACTGGAGGCAGAGGACTCCTTCCCAGTTTTGTCTGTATGATTGGGTGCCCTGAGTGGGTTCTCCAAATTGCATGAGCTCCACATACCCTGGGGATTAACTTAATAAGTGCCGACTATGTCTAGGCATGGAATTATCCCATAGAGACATAATAGAGCCCCAAATCTCAAGTGGCCCAGAGCCTAATGGAAGGATGGAGTTCTTTTTAGACAAATGTCAGTCCAATTTGATATGGTAAGTGTGCATGGTAAGTGTGCCAGAGGCTGTGGACGGCGGGAGGGGGAGGTTAAGGTAAGGCAAGCCTCTGACCATGGGGTCTGCATTCTAGCACTGCACCTGGCTAGCTGGGGAACTGGGTTCACTGAGAGAGCTGCCAGAGCTTCCTGTGCTGGTGAAACTGTGTGAAAGGACATTGGCAGGGCTAAAATGCAGGACAGAAGGGAGATTGCAGGCTGTGGAATACAGTCCAGCAGGGCAGTGAGTCCCTCCTGTGATCCAACTGGGCATCCCCTGAGCATCCCCTGCTGAAAGATCCCTTCCTTTCCTTCAGGCAGGGAAGAAGTGTCTGGCCGTGTACCAGCCAGAGACGCCCATGAACTTCACCCTCGCAGGCTGCGTCAGCACACACTCCTACCGACCCAAGTACTGTGGGGTCTGCATGGACAACAGGTGCTGCATCCCCTACAAGTCCAAGACCATTGATGTCTCTTTCCAGTGTCCAGAGGGGCCTGGCTTCTCCCGCCAGGTCCTGTGGATCAACGCCTGCTTCTGCAACCTCACCTGCAGGAATCCTAATGATATCTTTGCTGACTTGGAATCCTACCCTGAATTCTCAGAAATCGCCAATTAGGTGCACATCATGGATCTGGGGGTCTGGCTCAGCGATGGCAAAGCAGCTGGCCCCTCTGGGGCCAAGAACTTCACAACTGAGCCATCAGATTTTGTCTATTTCTTCCTCACTTCTAATTACCCTGATCTGGACTCTTCTTGTCTTCCACTACCCAAATGACCCATGATGGTGCTGCTCAGGTCCACACAATGGGTCCCTTCCTTGGTGACATTCAGCATCACTTCAAAGAAAATACTTATCTCTAGCTGTTCTGGACAAGCCCCAAGCCTGATCCAGCCTGCCCCAGTCATCAAGCATCCTTGTGCATCTTGCCCAGTCAGCTGGACATCCACTATCACAAGTTCCCCTTTTGAATGCTAAACTGGGGGACCCTTTAGTCCCTTCAGAATGAAGCACAAAATTGGGGACACTAGAAAAACTGTTACTTGGATATGCCAAAGGGACTCTTACAGGCAGCTGTTCATAACACCTTAAAAGTAGCTCTGCTTCCTAAGATTTGTGCACCACATAGTCCACAAACCTTGGTCAAGTGAGGCTAATGGTTGTTTGACTATTAATGGAAAACTGTATTCATGAACCTGGGCATTGTCAAGGTTAAATATCTCCTCACTGCTGCACTGTCAGGGTCTCAGCTGGGTTCATCCCAGTCGGAAATTCAATTTCATGAACATCAGTTTTGTTCATGAGAAAAATCTCCGGTCACTACCCAGAGACAGGGCAAGGTCAGCCAATTTTTGAGGCAGCAACTGACCCAAGCACCACATCTGCTGCTGACCAACCCATCTGTGGGCATCTGGCCAGGCACCTCCTTGCAACATGACCCTCTCTCTGCTCAGGGCTCAGGGGAGTTGGTGGAGTGCTGGAGAGTGGTGTTCTGGAACATTCCTTCACTTTTACAGAACCTCAGCAGAATCCTCTGAAGTCCACCAGACCACACCTACCAGGCCAGGTAAGGGTCAAACCACAAAGTGGCTCCACCCTTCCTTAGCCTGGCATGGTCTCGGAGACTAGAGATTATAAAGACCACAGAGTCCCTGGGCCCAGGACATACCTTTTCTACTTCAGTAACCTACTTCACAGCCCCTGGGTCTGCAGATCAAAATAACTCACTTTTCTGGTGTGAAGTCAGAGGTTGACCAGTTGTTTCAAAGTGGAATGATATTTAATGACATTATCCTTTGGTTAATAGCCAAAAGGAGCTAAAGCTAAAGGAAGAGAAGGTTGGTATAAATATAAATGAGACTATTATTTATTTTATTAGTAGCATATAATACTGTCATCTTTCTTTCTCTGTGTGTTAGACATTGTTCTCAGTGCTTTACATACACTTTCTCATAAATTTTCATGATAATGATGAAAAATCCTATTATTATTGCTGTTCTTACAAATGTGAAATGGAAGCCCCTGGGGTTAAGGAGACATGACCAAAGAAACTCAGCTGTAAGTGAGGGAATTGGAATTCATATCCAAGGTGGAGTACTTCTCAGTCCACATTCCCCCCTGCTGCCAGAGTTTCCCAAAGTGTCAGAATAAGATACCTTAGTGACATAAGTGACTTCTCCCAATTTTGCTCTTCACCCTGTCTTTCTAGCTTCTTTCCAGAAAGAAGAGAGTATCTGATGTTCTGGTATTTTGGTATTTAAGCATCCAACAATGTGTAAGATAAACAGAAATCTGTGCATCCCTATGGGTCACCCCCTCCTCCAAACCTGGACCAGCTCATATCAAATCTCCTTACAGTGACCTCCCAAAGGCCTAGCCCAGTGCAAGGCATACAGTGGTGCTCAATATGTATTTGATGAAGCAAATAAATTTGTACATGTTTCTACTTTTATTTAAAAGCTCTCTTCTTTCAATTGTGTGAAAGTCTGATTTTTATCAGTGATGATTTTACATTGAATGCCATAGTAGATGACATCTAGTATTTCAAAGAAAAGCATGTTCCTATATGTACAAGAATTCTCCTAGGGAATTTACCCACGAATCATTTCTTCTGTCAGTTTGTGTGGATTGTGTTGGATTTTCTTAGAGTGGAGTCATCTGCCACCTACAAACTTGAAGGCCATGTAGCTGCTAAGTGTATATGAAATTTAGTAGCAACCTAAGAGCCAGGTGTTTACTAAATTTGTACCTTGATTTGGGAGCTGAGCATGACTCTTCCCAGATTGTAGGAAATCTGGTTGAAGAAACTGGGGGTTATCCTAGGAACAGGTGGGATGGGATGACCAGAGAGACTTAGTCAGGATTGATTTTGAGACATGAGACGGGCGTGAGCAGGACCTAGTGGTCACAGTATAGAGGAGATCCGGACCCCGACGGAATGAAGCTCTTTCTAACAGGATTATTCTTGGGGGGGTGGCCTTATTCAACAAAAGTTAAGAAAATAATTACAATGAAAACAGTTTCCATTTCTTGAGTCCTTAGCTAGGTAGCACCAAGCACTCTGCTAAGTTTGACATTATCAATATCTCAACAATTTCAAGTGCACTTCTTTTCCCCAGAGGGAACAGCCTCAAAGGGGCTAGAGGATGGGGTCCAGACCCTCGCTTGTTCCTGCTCTGGGAGGCTTCCATCTGAGGCCTGATGACTCCGAGGAGACTCACACTGCAGGGGTCCAGACAAACAAGACTGCCCCTCCATTCCCTTGGAAAGAAACACTATGGACTATTTGACCTTGGGTGTGGTGGCACATGCCTGTAATCCCTGCTACTTGGAGGCTGAGGCAGGATGGTCTCAAGTTTGAGGCCAGCCTGGGCAACTGAGTAAGACCCTGTCTCAAAATAAAATAGTAAAAGGGCTGGGTGTGTTGCTCAGTGGCAGAGCCTGTTTAGAATGCACAAAGTCCTGGGTTCAATCCCCAACAGAAGAAACAAGAAATTAACTCACATTGGTAGATCAGCCTTCTCTGCTGTGCTTAGTTGTTGGAGAGGGTGAGAGACCTGACTTGACCAAACTACTGATTCTTGCTAAACCTTATGACAGGTGTTTGCTGAGCCCTCCACACGTGCGAGGTCTGCTGCTAGGAGCTTTACTGCCATATCTCATTTAATTTCCAAGTGAACCTAGGAACTGTGGGATTAGCAAGGCTTTGTTGTAGAGAGAAGACAGCTGAGTCTCATTGACTTAAGTGATTTGCTTAAGCTCTTATCAGCCAGTGAAGCGCAGACCAAACCCAGAGCCACCTGACATCTGAGACATCTCTTCAGGCACTAAGCCTCCTTATCCTGCCCCCGAAGCAAAGGCATGACCTATACAAGAGGAGTTTGCTTGAGGATAGCTGCAATTTTGATTGTGATTCAGAGAGTGGTCCAGGAAAGCAGAGTCAAATGCTATGATTGTCTACCATCCCACTGATCTTGTACTGTGTATCCTCAGAGACTGTGGGGAAGTGACACAGCCTGTGACAATTATGTTGAATGGTGCAACTGCTTTTCATAGTCTTGTTCTGATGCAAAGTGATCACAGTGACGTCTCTGCAAGGCTGGAATCATGAGTGGCCATAATGATTAATGCGTTTTCCTGTGTGTGTGTGTGTATGTGTGTGTGTGTGTGTATATATATTTTCAAACTATGATTTAATATTTAAATACTCCTACTGCCATTTTTGTAAGTGACTAAAAGACACATATGAAGAAATCTTAGGATTTAGCAACAGCGTTGGGCAATCTGCCTTGTCTCATGATAGTCCTCCTTTTTCTCATGATTTATGTAGCATGGAACATATTTGTTCAACATGAAGGGTTTTCATTGCTCAAAGTCATTGTTTACAGCTTTTCTTGTTAAAGCAATAAATCACCAGTAAAGTAACGTCCCGGATTTGGTGGAATTTCTTGGAATACCTTGGAATTTCATTAGGAGGCACCAGTGGAGCACTGAGCATATTTAAACCAATGTGTAGAGGGTGGAAATTAGGTCCCAGATATTTTATCTGGAAATAAAAATAGCTTAAAAGTTTGGAGATGATGGAGTTAGAAACCAATTCTGGAATTCACCAATGCCTCTAGGCTAAAAGAGACCTCGTAAATACAAAATGGAATTTTTAGCAGTCATTTCTTCATTCATTCACTTTCTCATTTATTCAGTTTCTTTCTATATCCCCAAGTAGAGCAGGAGCCCCTGAGGTCAGGGAAATGACTGCTTGCCACGTGTCTGGTTCATGTCAGGGACCCAGCAAGCAGAGCTGGGGTGGATGGCCAGAGGGTCTGTTTCCAGCTGGGAGCTGGGAGAAGACCAAGGGAGGCTGCATGGAGAGTGGAACCCATCCTGACTGTGGGCCTCCCGGGATCCAAACCTGCTCTAGTCCTTGCTGGAATTCCTCATTTACCTGAGCCGCAGCGGCTTCCTCAACGGTGACAGGACAGAATGACGGGTCTAATTCTTGACAGTATGCACATTGCAGGTACGGATTTCAAAACAGAACTTAGAACATGGTAAGGATTTAATGGACACTTCTATTATGAGCTGAGTCTCAGATTCATCATAAACAGGGTAATTGACCACCAAGGTACTGTAAGAATTAGTCTCCACGTGTGTGTCTACACATTTAACTCAGTTACCTCTTGCTTAAAAGAGTAAACAGAGCCGGGCATGGTGGCACATGCCTGTAATCCCAGCGGCTTGAGAGGCTGAGGCAGGAGGATCACAAGTTCAAAGCCAGCCTCAGCAAAAGCAAGGGCTAAGCAACTCCGTGAGACCCTGTCTCTAAATAAAATACAGCACAGGGCTGGGATGCATGCCCCTGAACTCAATCCCCAGTACTACTACTATAATAATAATAATAATAATAATAATAATAATAATAATAATAATAATAATAATAACAATAGAAAGGGGAAGTGGCCCTGCATTCGTTTGAACGCTTCTCCTTCCCTCATAGGCTGCTTGGTCACTTAGTCATTCAGTGCTGTGTTTTGTGCTCAAACTTCATTCACAGCCCAGCTCCCTCAGGGCAGGAAGGACAGTGTCCTTCTCTCCTCTCTCTTCCACGTCCAGCACAGCCAGCATATGCGGCTATGTGAGCAGATGCCCTCACCCACAACCCCCAAAACATGATGATGTCACAATAAAAGTCAAGGGGAGACTAGATAAAAAAAGAAGTCACATGAATTGTTTCCAAGTCCTTCTATCCTAAAGCACACTTGTTTTTCAAAATCAGAAGATGGATGGTTGGAGTCCTTTGGGGGAGAGATCCCCCAAGGATAGGTAGTTGAAGTTTTGGGGAAATGAAATTTGGAAGAAATGACCTAAGTATTTTTATTATGAAGCGATTTATCCTAAGCAGTACATAGTGGCTGCAGGGAGTGGTGGCACATACCTATAGTCCCCACTAAGGAGTCTGAGAGGAGGATCCCTTGAGCCCAGGGATTTGAGGCCAGCCTGGGCAGCACAGCAAGACTTTACCTCCAAACAATAAAAATACACAGCAGAGATCCAGCATTCTGCATCCCCCCCACCCCATGGGCAAAATAAAAACCTAAAGACTTCCTCTGTATTCAGAAACCCAAGTTCTGGCTGAATCTGGTTCTTTCAAAATGTAGGACTGAGCAAAACTGGCTTCTGAGCTGAAGGAGCTGGCACAGACCAGGACCCCAGGCCCCATCCTCTCACCCGTCCCAACAGCTCCAAGCTCTGCTCTGCGCCTCGTTACACGTGGATTTTGCACTGTACTGACAATGTGTATTTCTTAGTCCATTTCACAAAGAGAGAGAAAGGCTTCCTGATAATCTTGAGAAAACAAGGAGACAAATTGAGAACCAGATAAAAACATAAAGGTGAGTGGCCCGAGTTGGAGGTGACTGTTCCTTGGGGGACTGAACACATTGCTGGCCTGATCACCTTATGTCCCGGGAACCACCTGATGTTCTACAGTCCCAAGGTGTCAGTGGGAGGTTGCCTGGTCGTGAGGGTGCTCAGCCGCTGCTGTTCTAACAGGCAAGGGACAGGGCCCATTTTAGAAAAGACCCGACATGTTGTTTACTGTCGCTGAGCTTTGGTTCTCTCCTCTGTGAAGCCAGGAGAACTCCTTACAGACAAGAATGAAATGGAGAAAAGCTGAGACTTTCTGACCAGAGGAAGCACATATCTGCTTATTTAACAAAAACCTCTTCTTGTGTGTTTGACACTGGGCTAGCCCTGAAAAATCCAAAAGTAGAAGGTCACTAGTTTGGGGGAAGGATGCACAAAGTGCCAGGCATTGCGGGAGCTGCATGTGCTACCCCTGCCAGGAGGCCCTGCTCCCTTCCACGTCGGGGTGGGGCCGGGCACCCGGGAAGGGCTCTGTAGGAGTGGGAAAGGTGTGATCTCCGTCAGGGCACATGCTGTCAGTGGATTTGATTGTGCAGAAAGGACCTAACAGTTCACCTGTCACAGCTACACGGATGCCTGTGGACCCCTGCTGCATGGGGTGGGGGGCAGCGTGAGCCCCAGTCATGGTTGAGTGACACTTGAGTCAAGCTGGGCCAACTAGTTTCCTCCCCTAAGAGGCACAAGGAGCCCATTGGTTTCAGTTCCAGAGCTAAATGGTCAGGCTAGCTGGCCCAAGGGCTACCATTCCATGCTTCAGTGTCACGAGCAACAAACACGAGGAAGGCATGTCCCTTGACATGAAGTGACAAAGGGGGCATTTCACCTCTGTGGCCCTCCCCTGGAGAAGAACCCTACACAAACCACAGCCCAGGGAACTCCTACTAAACCCCTGGTCAGTGCTGCCCGGGAAAGTCAACAGGCGAGGAAAGTCTGGCCACCCAGAGGGGCAAGAGGACACGAGGCTGGATGTCAAGGGCGTCCTGGAAGGGACCCTGAGTTGTGTTTGGAGGTGCGGAGTCCCCCAGAAGC